GTATGCAAACCTTTGCCTGATTTCAGAAAAATATTTACAATGTTTGTTCTAGAAATAGTTAATCCAGATAAGGATATTTATCCTAGAAATAACTACGAAAAAAATAATAAAAAACTAAAATAAAGCCATTCAACATCCATTAAGGCAAAATAAAGTTAAATAACCGATTGGCTGAATTTATTTTCATACTGGTGAATTTCTTTAAATAGTAATGAAATCATTGCTAAAAAATCCATTGTTATTAAAATACAAAGTTAGCTTAGCCTACCAAAATTAGATTTGTAAGTTGCTGGTCATTCTCATAATTAAATCTGTGTCACAAATTTGCAAGAAAAATGGACACTATGACTAATGCATTTACTTGCTGCACTAGTGCTGTCAGGCTGTGTAAATCATTATGCCTGCTAAAACAGAGTAGATAAGAACTCCATACATTTTCATTAACCAACAAAGCTTTGTGTACGTGTGAGAAGATAACTTGTGTATATCCGCCTAGATTTAGCTTTCATCTGGAAGGCAACTTAAATAAAAACACTTGGTCTGATTAGCAAAGCGACTGCTCTGAAAATTAAGTAACTGAGCTTTTCAGCAATAAGAACGAGCTCTGTTCCCTTAGAAAGAGATGGTCAGGTAAGACAGCAAAGCCATATATAAATATATACTTAATTTGGACAAAGGAGATTAATGAACTGATGGGCACCTGGAATGGAGTCCTTCCCTCAGGCTGACTTACGTATCCTAGACATATGCCTTATTCCATCCTTCAATACAGAAAGCTAAACTAATCCAAGATAGCGTCATAAGAAGTCTCAGTCAACACTTTCATTTTAGGCTGCCCTTTGCCCTGTTTTTCAGGGGCGCGATCGTTCCCGGAGCAGAGTCCACTGGATTCTCTCTGCTCCTCTTAATTTCCTATCACCAGAGACCTAGAGATTTTGGTCACAGTTCTTTGTTCAAGGGGAAGCTGACGACTGCTCCTTTCAAACCTATTATTCATAACCCCAAGCTGCCAAAGAATCAGACAACATTCACTCACATCACAAGCTGGATACTCTCCTGAGCTTCCAGCCCACTGTCTCAAGTGGGAAGGAGATTAATGAGAGGCAGAAAGAGATTAGACAATACAGTTTCTAGTCTAGCAGTGCAGAGCATTTTGTGAAGGCATCCTCTTCTTGATTTTTGGGTCCTCTCCTCTTCCATGCACGTGGCATTGTAGCCTGACTGCAGGCAATAAAGCAACGAAGTTATCTTTCGAAGCAGCGTGCGTCCCCGCTTCAGTGCAAGAATGGCCTTAAATAGAAGCTATGCCTCAGTGATCTTAGAGCCAACGAAGCTGAGCTAGCCAGGTAAACAAACTGAACAATCACCAGCACAGCATGTTTTACAGTACCCTACCTATTGCTCTGTGCTTCAGACCTTTGCAAGCATTATTCTTCTGTTGCAGCACAACAGAAAGCTCAGGAAGCACGGTAATACATATAACGTTAAGAACCTCAGCAGACACATTTGACATCTCAGTCCATTTCTTTAGCCTCTAGTTGCAAAAGCTCCTCTCCTGCAAGTGGAAGGAGCCACCTCAGTGCTTTTGAACTCAGTAGATCTTAGCACGCATTTGCATGCTTTACAGTAACAGCCTTGCTAATAATCAACCACCCAGTATCAGCAAAATGCTATCAGATTTTATTAAAGCCCCATTAAGAGGAAAAACTCAAATCACTTATGTTCCACAATTATTGTAAAGCAAACTGTTTAAACAAGGGGAGGAGATAATGATATTAACCATCCAACTTGGAGCAATCCTCTGTGGCATGATTCTAAATATTCTCTTGGTCTGAAATTTATGTAAATTGAATTCAGCTATCGTCAGTTATTACCAGTCTAGCTACAAAAAACAGTTTTCTGTAACAATTAGTTCGTTAAAACGTTGTATTTTAATTAGACCTGGGACATTATTAAACTAAGTATAAATACGTACAATATCATCCTGTTCATTTTTACAGGAATACGGGTTTTGGTGGAGTTTAATAGGAATTACTTTGTGTTTAATTGATAATTTTTTAGTCTCCCTCCCCATGAAAACAGCTCCAACTACTTACTACAAAATATTTCTGCCTATCAAGATATACTCAGAAATTCTACATTTTGTATACCAGAATGCATTCCCTTCCCTCTGAGTAACCTCATCTCAGTATCACCCTAACATTAAGCTAAGACTTTTCCTACAGACAACATTTTGTTTTGCACTTTATTTTAACTTCCCAAAGACCATTTCCTGTTCTTGGGAAAATAAAATAAAAAACACTGTACATCTACATCTTTTAGACCTCTTCAATCAGCTTGTCTTACACTATCACACAGAGGCACTGGCCCCACAGGGTATAGTCTGAAAGCAAACAACAACATACTGTCCTCCTGGCTTTGTCACAGCTACACACAAGCACAGCAATCTGCCCGCGCTACACTTTGCAGGATTAGGGAAATAAGAAAAAAAAAAAAAATCTAGCCTTGCGAAAAGTCAGATCCTTCCAAACGATGTCTAGGATGCGTATATGCTTTTGGGTACACAGATATATAAATACATCTGGGATGAGGCACAGACAGACAACCCATCAGACACTAGTAAGAAAAACGTGAACGCTATTTAGCTTCACTACGAAGTAAAGACATAGGAAATAGCATTTCCACATATGGCCATGCCCGTAAGTTAGGCACTGATATAAACTGATTGATTTCCAAAGATACCAACCACCCAGAAGCTTCCATTATCTTTTCAGAAATAGGTCAATTATTTTCATATTTTACAGGAGAATAGATTTGACTTCAAACAGGTATATGTATCTTTTAATGCTTCTCTGCTTGTTCAAGAAAATCTTGCATAGTAAGGTCCAGAGGCTGACTACACCCTAGTGACAATCA